CTAATATGCCATGGTCCATGGACATGACTGTGGAAATCAAAGTCATTGACTCCCTCATGCATAAGTTCTCTCAATCACCTGCCTAATTGCTTAGTCAGATATGTTGTCAGATCAACGAACTTTGTGGCACATACACTTGCCAAATTTGATCTTACATTAAATCGTCTTCACACATGGTCCCAAGTTCCTGATTTCCTTTGATCTTCTCTTTGTATTTGATTCCTTATGATCTATTGAATGAATTGCTTGTGGGTCAGCCTTAATTGGGCCTCTGTTTGGGTTTCGGTTGATGTTGACCTATACAAAGACATTGTATCAGCCTTAGGGATGATCATGGGCTGGGCCAAGCCAAGTTGGATTTTGACAATGTATTAACAGTCCCTAGGGCTGTACTGGGCCGGGCCCACACGGCCTGATTTTTACGTCTTCTAATTTATTTGAAAAAAAGGTTTCTTCAAAACATCTTTAAATGGGTGTCTTGACATCTAAAAGATAAAGATACGATATGCTTTAGATAGATTTATTGACACCTGAAAAAAGGTTTTTTTCAAAATACACAACACCAGTTGATTATGCTACAGACATCTAATAGGTAACCTACTTTGGATAGTTAGGATCAATATATATGGACGTCTGTTTTTTTTTTTTTTTGATATAACACACGCCTTTTAAATATACTTATTTAATTTGTTAGCCTAGATGTTCTTTCTCACCTTTTTCTTAAGAAATTGTTAGAGGGTTCACTCAAAGGATTAAGATTTGCAAGGAGTAAATGTATTTTCAATCATCATTTTTTTCGCAGATGACATCCTAATTTAGTAATTTTTGGATAGGCCTCCATCAAAGAACTCACTGAGATAAAAGGAGTGCCTAGATCTATTTGGCAGCTGGTCATCAGGCCAAATTGTGAATATCAAAATGTCCTCAATCTTTTTTAGTCCTAATGTTCACAGGCGAAATAGGAGAATTCTGGCTTCTATCATGGGAGTTCAGATCGTGCACAACTCGGTAAGTATCTGAGAGCTTTTCCAAATTAAAAATTTTCAATCTAAACTGAAATTGGAAGCATATAGTGAAAAAAGTTACAAATAAATTGCAAAATTGGAAGGCGAGGCTATTGTCACAACTCACAAGCAGGTAGAGGGGTTCTTATTAAAAGTGTATTGCAGCCAATTCCAAACTATTATCTCTCTACCTCTTTCATCTCTAAGGAGTTTGATTCCAAGATTAATTCGCTTTGCCAAGGCTTTTGGTGGGGTTCTTTAGAAAAGGATAAATATTTATATTTTAAGAGTTGGGACTTCATCATGCGACACAAGGATTTTGGTGAACTGAGTTTTCATGTTCATGATATAAGTAAAGTTTCAAGCATGAAACTCATTTCGAGATTTCTGACAGTGAGAAACAATATTTGGGTTCAAGTTTTATCAGCAAAATATCTCAAACACGATGTCTCCTTTTGGCCGATTAAAAGATCTTTCAACGCTTCTGGGGTATGGACTTCTATTTTGTATGGAAGATCTCTTATTAATAAGCCCCAAATTAAATGGGTGATTGGTAATGGTTGGAAAGTTAATGCTCTTGAAATTACTGATCGATCAAGGCTTTGTTTCTTCTTCAACCATTAGCTGATGCCATTCTAGGCACCCCCTTCCCTCCCACAACACATCCATGGAAGATTTTTTTGATATTGTTGCCTTCCTCTAATGGTCTCTTCACAACGGGTTTTGCTCTCTGGATAGGACTTGTCATTCTTGGCCCGGCCTGGAAATCTAGCTCAGCCCAGCCCTCAAATTTCCAGGCTTGGGCCTAGATTTTTGTGTAAAGCCCGACCTGGGCTTGGGCCCGCATAAAAAATAGAAAATATAGGGCCGAGTCAATTCTCATTCCCGCATCAAACCCACAACAATTTAGTCAATTCAAGTATGAGAATATATAGGTGAAGACAAAGTCTTTATTCTCATTCCCTAAGCAATGTGGGATTGGAAAGACACTCAATGATTTTATTAATTATTTAGTGTTGTTCCAAGTCTTACATTGCTCAAGAATGAAAATGAAGGCCTTGTTTTTTGTGCCATAGGCCTAAAGCCTAGTCTAGTCCAATTTAAGTGTGTAATTTTTTTGTATGTATTAGTTTACATATTACTTAAATTAAAGTTATAAATAAATCAAATTTTATTCTTTGATTTTATGGGCTTAAAGTCTTTACTTGTTAGGCCTGGAAAGCCCGTAAGCCCGACCTGGGCCCATGTGGGGTTAGGCTTAGGCTTTGCAATCTAGGCCTAGGGTGCAGGTCGGGCCGGGCCTAGGTCTAACTTATAACCCTTATAGGTGCTAAGCCAGGCCCATGATCAGCCCAATCTCCGGATCCTACATCAACAATCTCCCAGCTCATCACAGGCCAACATTGCCTTTTGGAATTGGACTTGCAATCAATTTTGGAAGTTCAAACACCTCCAACCTTGAATTAACTTGTTTATATAGAAGTGCATCAATCTCTCCATTCCGGTTAAAACTAAGATAGCTAAGAGGGGAATCGACTGTGATTGTACTTGCAATTTTTGTAACTTGTAAGTGGAATCCATCGGTCACTAGTTCTTTGGGTGCCTAGAAGTAAAAAGAATTTGGTTAATGTCTCCTTTAAATTTGAAAATTGACTTTTCATTAGACTGGACCATGATTGATTGCTAGCATGGTAGGATGTGCATGTGATGTCGGTGTGAGGCGCTCTGTGTGAGTAGCAGATCTGGTCTCATTCAGATCTCCCCCTACACATTAAATTAAACTTTCATGGAGTAACATCTTCTACAAAAGCTGGGGTGGGTCTAATTGATAGAGCTCATTGGGATTCCTTCTTTGTTTCATAGCCCCCTCAATTAAGGTGCAGACAGGATTCGAGTACTTAGATAGCCTGAAACAAGAGATCGTGCCAACCAGCTTGTTTTGCATACTTTGGTTTGCACCGCCATCATTTCTTTGACAAGCATGCTTGATGCTACAATCATCTGCTTTTTTTCATGATTGCTAAGTTCTCCCATGAATTGTTTGCAAAATTGTAAGTGAAAGGACGAAATCGTCCATATAAATAAAAAGGGGTAAATTACAAAAATCCCTCGTACTACGGGGTCTGTGACAAAGACCCTCTTGTATTTTGTTTTGCGACAAAAACTCCCCTGTATTTTGTTTTGGACAAAGACCCCTTGTACCATGATCATAAGATAAAGATCCCTTTTCAATTTTCCGTTAAAATCCATCATTATAATATTTTTAATTTCAATACTATCCTTGCAATATTTATTTAGAGAAAAGCACTGTTCATCTTCCCTGACTTCGTGATACATAAACAGCAACGGCGGTAGCTGTTGCAGCAGCGACGGACTTCCGAAGTCCTCCCTCTCCTTCTCTTTCTCTTCTCCCCTCTTCTTCCCGATTTCCTCTGTTTTCCGTACCTTGCAGGTGAATGATCTGAGCCAGATGAGGAAGTGTATCCTCCTTTGATATTGATACTGTTGGACCTCGAGGATAAATACATTGAAGTTCGGCCACAAGAGGAGCAGTTCGACCACAAGAGGAGCAGTTGAGTGGTGAAAATCGAAAATGCGATAAACTTTGTTGGTTGACTAAGGTGCCAACGGTAACAAAAGAAGAAATCTGAAAGAGATAACAAAGAAGTGATCGAGGTAGCAGCATCGACTACAGCCGTGGTGGTTCTGCCACCGTTCGTCGTCGGTCGGAGCCGATCTCATGCTAGTACTAGAAGGGTAGAACTAACAACCACCATTACCAGTACCGTGTTCGGAGTTCCAACAACCGGCGTCGACGCCACTGCGAGCGCCTTCGTAGAGAAGGCTCTACCAAACCGAGATCTCTACACGGGAAGCAAGGAGAAAACGAAGAAATACATATCAGGCTTCACGGCACAGAATCACTAACATCTCCAGGAAACCGTCTATACAGTTCGTTTCGACGAATTCGAAACCCTAAGTCATTAGAATTTCCTAATCCACAAACACGAAGAAATACATATCAAGCTTCACGGCACAGAATCACTAATCCAGCAGGAAACCAAAGAGTCTTAAATTTACAAGGAGAAAACGAGTTTCAAAGCTAACCTACTCTTCCTCTGTTAAACCACTACCACATTACAATTTAAGAGCTTATCCTCAATGAACCAGAGAATAATTAGATCAAAGCAAATAGGAGATTAAGTATTCCAAATTTAAAAGCCAGTAAAGCTGAAACTGCTCTTAAAAATGCTTAGATATGTAAACAAAATCCTGTTAACATAATTTAGGGTTGCACAATAATTGATAGCTGAAGAAAGAAAAAAAATCTCACCGAACAAGACCATTGCTTCGCTTTTATACCTTTATTTGCTGTGAAAATATGATAATAACCAAGTTGACTGTACTCCCCTGTTCGACCACCAAATGAGGCAGCAAGGGCTGCAGCAGTGGCCAAGGTCCAGCTGGACTGGGTGGAGAGATTGGAACAACTGAGCTAGTTGAGGCATATAAAGGAAGTAGTTCTTCAGGCTTGTGTGCAAGGAAACAAACCCTTCGTGTGCATTTTGGTCTCATCCTTGCAGAGATGGGTCCTGTACTGTGCTAGGTGAGAGAGAGAACTTTGGAAGTCCGCCACTACTGCAACAGCCACTGCCGCTGTTGTTGGTGAGGTCGGGAGTGTTTTTCTCTAAATAGATATTACAGGGACAGTATGCGAAAAAAAAATTATAACGGCGGATTTTAACCGAAGACTAACGGAAGGGGGTCTTTATCTCACAGTCATAATATCGGTGGTTTTGTCGCAAAACAAAATATAGAGAAATCTTTATCACAAACCCCATGGTATAAGGGGGCTTTGTAATTTACCCTATAAAATGGATGATTTAGAAATTTAAAGAACCTAGGGGACGTATTTGTTGTAAATTGAAGTTCAGCGAAGTTTCAATTGTCACTGACTCTGTAGGATGGGGGTGGCTCTGTAATTTACCCAAAACTAATCAAAATGAAACTTATATGGAGTGCGCCGGTGCGGTGGCAGCATTGGTAGGCAGTGGCTATCAAAGCAATAGAATTGCTAAATCGAACGTTCACCGACGACATGGCAGTAACAGCAGCAATTGCTCGTGTTTTTCTCTCCAATCCTTTCTTGCTCAGTAAAAATTATTTCTTATCCTTCTCCCGCTATCGGTTCTCATCCCGTTTTCTCTCAACAGCATCGACGAACCCTCTCTCCTCTACTTGTTTTACTGCAAACCACCAGTTGTCCATGGACCTCAAACCCAACTCCTTAGTACTTGGTAGAACTGCAACCGCATGGAGATTATTCAGCTCCAAGTCCAACACCAACAGCTCCGCTACCTTCGATTGGTCCGACGACGAAGATGACACCCCTACTTCGCAAAATCAAAAGACAAAGACAAAGGAGATAGACAAGAGCAGGCTTCCCCCACCCTACGACCCGTTCAGCAAGAAACCCGTGATCGAAGATCCCAAAGACCCAAAAGACCTCCAAGAGATCTTCCACAAGATGAGAACTGAAGGCCTCATTCCCAACGCCGTCAAGATGTTCGACGCTTTGTCCAAGGACGGCCTAACCCACGAAGCCTTGGAGTTGTTCTCCATTATCAAGGATAAGGGCAACATGCCAGATGTCGTTGCGCATACGGCCGTAATCGAGGCCTACGCCAATGCAGGACAGAGCAAGGAGGCCCTCAAAGTCTACATGCGAATGTTGGCTTCAGGCGTCAAGCCTAATGCCTATACATATACTGTCTTGATTAAAGGCCTTGCAGCGGATGGAAAATTGGAGGACGCTAAGAAGTTAGTGATGGAGATGATGACTAAAGGAATGAAACCCAATGCTGGAACGTACACGGCATTGTTCGAGGGATTCGCGAGGGAGGAGAAGATGGCAGAAGGGAAAGAGTTTCTGGAGCAGATGAAGTCCAAAGGGTTCGTCCCCGATGAGAAGGCTGTCAGAGAGAATCTTAGCAAAAGGGGTCCAATTTTTAGAAGCGTTATGAATCTCTTGTTTGGCAAGTAATGTAAGTTAAATCATTAGTATGATGTGATATGTTTGATAGTTATTAGCAATTTTCACCATAGGTTATCAGTATGAAGAATGTTCTACCAAGAAACGTAGTGTAACTTATGTTATCTCAGCACAAAAATTGTTTTAAGGGTTGCTGATCAAAAAAACCAAAATGTTATAAGAGTTGAAGAGCAAAGCGCTTTTTCTATTAGGTTGGTTAATACGTTTAATCTTCAGCTTTGGCTGTGTCTTGATTAATAGTAGTCAAAGGGGAAGGCTCCTGATTTAGTTTCCGGTAATGGCTAAATCAACGGTGGAAACCAGTTAATGCATCTCTTTCTCATTTCTGGTTCTCTTTGATGTCAAACAATTCTGATCTATGGTTGCCCTTTCTCTTGAGATACATGAATTGTTATCCGTTTATGTGTGGATGACTTCCTTTTTACATAAACGCCCATGTATCTTATTGTTTGGTTCAGCCGATTATTAAAAAATCGAACATGCTTCGAAAATTGGGACCCCACTGATTGGCATTTCATGTATCGGTGAACCATTTCCCCCAACGGTTGACTGATGTGTATCCTATGTGGTGCTTACCTGTCAACACATACATGAAAAACGGTGATGAAAATTACCTTACCAAACAACATAATGTTGCTCATTGCCTACATACATGGCAGAAGCATTTTTTTGTGAAAACTAGGTCTTGGAAGCATGAACATTTTTTCCTGAAAATCGGTCGCAAAAAGCATCCATGTTAAGTAATCCTCTTTTAAGTTAACATACGTACTTCTTTTTTCAGCCAATTTGCACAATTCCCATAATGCAGGTTTAAATATTTTCTACATTTTTTTAAACTCTAACTTTGCATGAGTTAGTAATTCCACTGATAGGTTGATGGTTGATTCTCGCTTTAGGTTGATAGATTCCTGAGGCATGCACACTATCGTGTATTGTCTAAAGATCCAATGAGCTGAATGATTTTGATAATTGTTTGTTTCTGTGTCAATTGGTTTAATTGAAAGGATTGTGACTGCATGGTGTTTGCTATCTTTTCTAGTGGTTTAAACTTTAAAGAGATAGAATTTAGCCTCCCAAGACCATAGATAGTCAGGACCAACATTGGGTAATGCATATATCTACGTAAAATTATTAGGAATGTTGGTTTGAATGTTGTAGGTTTATTAAGGAGTGTTCACGTCTCATAAAAGTTAATAGTCATTTTATTCATCATATATAACACTAAGTCATTTTTGGTCCATTTTGTTAATAATATATAATATTTTGATAATTTGTTTGTTTATTAAAGGAATTCAATGCCCAAGTCAGTCTGAATCCAATGAGGTAGATCCCATTCAAATCTGAATATTGATGGACGAGGTTTCCAGGTATATCTGATTCAAATATGATCCTTTGCATCCCTATGAATTAGGTGAGTTGCTGATGGTTAAGACAAAAACCAATTTCCAGGGAAAAAAGGACACAAACCACTTGATTATGCTAGAAGATGTCCAATGGGAACCTATTGATTTGGATGGCTGGGATCAATATGCGTGTTTTCCAACTAAGCTTGTTTGGCTTAGTAAGTTCGTGCAGTCTGTATGGCTGTATGCTTTCATTTCTGATGCCCTCAGTCCTCTTTGATTTTATACTTTAACTTAAGCGAGTGGGTGTGGGTTATCAATAGGCCTGCTCACTATCTTTATCACGAGTATAGGCTCATTCATCCGCTTGTATAGAGCACATGATGTAACTTTTATAAGGGTCTAGGAATGACATTAATGTCTAAATTGAATCTCCCTACAGTTCCCATTTTAGGTTTTGTTTGGCTTATTATTGGCCTACTTTTTTTCTGGGGAGTTATGTACTTCTTTTCTGGGGAGTTAAGTATCTTTAGCTCTCCTTCCCTGTAACTTTTTTCCTATATTAATGAATCCTGTGGTTATTGATAAAAAAAAAAACAAAGAACATTCCTGAAACTTATGTACTAGCCTTGAGTGTGCCCTTCCTATCACTATCCTTAGTAGTTCCTCCTCTGGGGTAAGTTGTCAAATATTCTTGTATTTCCTTCAGTCCATATGATCCAAAACATGAGTAGTGGGATGATGCTCCAATCCACCTTTCCTTTCTTTCTTGGACCCTTTCTGACACAGTCGACACCATACATGGGAAAAACCAACGTAGGTAGAAAGTGTTAAAACAAATTGAGCCTGCAACTTCAACAAAAGGGTTATACTAGAGTAAGTGGTTTGTGGAATTCTTATCATTTGGGTAAAAAGTGTACCTGGTTGATAGGATTTCCATACCTCTACGCACAACTATCAAAGGCTTCTAGGTGATTGTTGACTGCTTAGTTGCTTAGGTGAAGAGGGCCAATAGGCCCAGCACTACTTAACACCCCCACCCAAAGAAAGGACAACACATTACAGGGACAGATTTCCAAACACTTTCCCTTTCTTGATCAGCCCTGGAAGGTTCAAAGACCTAGCAACTCCTTAACTGATTTGAGAAGACAAAGAACAGTGGATGCATAGCTCCCAACAGATTCATCCACCTGACCACATAAGCCAAAATACATCCTTTAAAGCAAGACCGAGAAACTTTGCTTCGATGGAGAGACTGGGTTCCAGATTTACTTGGTTGGGAGGCATCCCTAATTTCTCTATAGATAAAGGTTATTTTATTAATCAGCACCAAAGATGCATATTACAAATTCCCCACAAAGAGGAGCGAGATGCTGCCTCTAAACTATATAAAGCTTACAAATGAGTCCAAAATAATTGATTCCCATGTGCCCCGTTTGACTAAAGAATTTGTCAATCCATTTGCTGATCTTTTTTCCCATTAAATTTGGACTGACATATTTGATATTAACCATCTGAACCTTTTCAAAGCCCCTTTATAGGACCATGCTGCCACTTTTGGCTCTTTAACCACCCAACAACCAAATTTGAGTCACCTTCAATGATTAAGTGTTCCATTGACATCTCCTTAGCAATTTCTGCTCCTTTTAGAACTGCATGAAGTTCTGCATTGACTGAATCTAAGATTAGGCCCTCAACATTTCTGAACACTCCCCCAATTCCAGACATCCCTAGATTACCTAGGCTATTGCCATCGAAATTTAATTTAATAACCCTAACTTCATCATAGCCTTGATTCTAACAGCAGAACTTTTGGGAATTTGCTCCCAATTCCTTCACATGTCATAAAAAAAGAAAGGATGAAAAAGGTCCAATGTCTTTGCCCAACTTATGGCCCTATTTAAAAAGCTTTCCCACATACCATTCCCACCCCTCTCCTTGTCATTAAAAATTCTGGCATTCTTTTCCTCCCAAACAATTCACAGCAAAGCAACTCTCATACACCTCCACAAGACTCTACCTCTTTTCTTTGGCCACCTGAAAGTTGTTGGGTTAAAAAGATTACCGGTTTTCCTTGGCTTTATTCACTTACACCCAAAAGAGATCAAAAAGCTTCTCCTAGAGGCCTACAACAAGAGGGCAAGAGATTAGTAAATGGAAACAACTTTCCTCATTTGCTTTATAGAAGATACACTAGTTAAGCGAGATACAAAGACCAGTTTTTCTTTTTTGCAAAACATCCAAAGTATTTATTTTTCCAAGAGACACTTCCCAACAAAGGGCTCCCACTTTTGGGGGGATAGGCTTGGACCAAGCCTCTTTACTATAAAATGGCTAAGGATTAACAGTTGAAGTATTGAACATAGAGATAAGAAAAAGGAGGCATAGGAAAATGAACCCTGGGAATTAGGCATCCAAATGCAACCATCAAAGGAGGAGAGATCCAAACAAGTATGTTCAAGAGTTCTAAGGAGAAAGGCAACCTGGTAAAGTTCAAAATTTCTCAAGTTTTTTTCTAAAGCCCAAGTTCCGGTTATAACTAGAGGAAGAAGAAAGGGATGCAAATTTCTGAATTGACCCATTTTTAAAACATGAGAGGGCATACAAAGAAGGGAAAAGGTCCTTGAGGGTCGAGTTACTATCCCAAATGTCCTCCCAAAACAAAACCTTATCTCTAGTATAAGCATTATACCTGATTAGGCTCAAGAAGAGAAGAAGAGTACTATAAATAGCCTTCTAAGGGGAGTTCAGCATAGCCCATTGAGATACACCAACATCTCAACTATTACCTGCCGCCCCATGAACACTTCTCACAACCTTGTGCTAAAGTCTTTCCCTCTCCAGAGGCTACTTCCACAACTATTTGCCCAGCAAAGATATGTTTTTCTTCTTTAAATTGTCTAAACCCAAACCCCCTTCCTCCTTCCTCCTACAAACTTGTTCCCACCTTACTACATGATGTTTCCTTCCTTCCCCAAGCTCCCACAAGAAATCCCTCATAATTCTCTCTCTATCTTCAGAACCTCCCTTTGGGGCATTCTAAAAACCGAGAGGAAGTAAATTGGAAGACTTGCTAGAACAACCTTTATTAAAGTAATACGACCCCCAAGAGAGACGTAGTTTCTTTTCTAAGTTGCTAACTTCTTTGTACACCTTTCTACCATCGAATTATAAAATCTACCTTCCTTTGGACTATCTCCTAATGGCATTCCCAAGTAGGTCAAAGGCTAGTTAGAAATAGAGCAACCTAAGGACTCTTCTACCTGGCTTAGCTTCTCTTGCTCCAAATTTACCCCCATTACACAACCCTTTTCAAAGTTAATCTTCAACTTCGAAATACAATCAAACAACTTGATCGCTCTAACTTGATATAAGAGCAAAGGATTTCATAGAAAACTAATCATTCACACTCCACCTTCACCTCCATTGTTAGTTGCATATGATCAACATCAACAGCTTGGTCCTTTCAACAATTGCAACAAACCTGGAATCTAATCCACTTTCCAATCCTGGGACCTTATTTTGAATATCAGAATCTAGATTACATTACTCCCATAGTTTTTAAGGCATCTAGGCGATTCTAGGCAACATAGGCACCTAACTGCCTAGTCATCTTGGTAGTAAGAATTTTATAATATAAAAAACTAACTTTTGTCTAGTTCCCTAATTTTATATACCATTCAGAATGCATATTAATTGAAAAAACAACATTTTTTTTATTAAGAACATTATGTTTCCTTTAAAAATGTGGCGAATCATCACATCCAAAAGATAAAAATCTTTTACATATATTAATTTCATATTTTTCAGAAATAATATTACTATAATAAGCATTTAATAGTATAATTTCATATCAATT